TCCTGATTGCTCCTCGATTTACCGTTCTCCGATTTGTGTCTCTCGATCTGCTCCCGATCTACCGTCCCGATCTCTTGTCGATTTGCTCTTCTTGATTTACGTCCCGATCTACCACCCCCGATTTCCCGTTCTCGATTTACGTCCCCCGATCTACCGCCCCCCATCTCCCGCCGATTTACCGTTGATTTACATCCCGCGATTTTCCTCCGATCTGCCGTCCCGATATCATGTCGATTTACTCTTCTTGATTTACGTCCCGATCTACCACCCCCGATTTCCCGTTCTCGATTTACGTCCCCCGATCTACCGCCCCCCATCTCCCGCCGATTTACCGTTGATTTACATCCCGCGATTTTCCTCCGATCTGCCGTCCCGATATCATGTCCATTTACTCTTCTTGATTTACGTCCCGATCTACTACCCCCGATATCCAGTTCTCCGATTCACGTTCCCCGATCTACTGGCCCTCATCTCCCGTCGATTTACCGTCTCCGATTTACGGCCCGTATACCATCGGTTTACCCCTCCGATCTCCGAGTATAGACGTACCGTTTCGATTCACGCCCCCCCCTCCAGCATTCTCTCCGCCGCCTGACTGTACTCGACTTGCTAAAGCTTCTTTCTACCAGAATAACCGGAACCCCGTCCAGTATTGTGCGCTTTGCTAACACTGAATCCAGGATTTTGCTGACACCGTTCGCCTTTACCTCGGGATCCCGTCCTATATCGCTTTTGCGATTGCCCTTTATACTTATTTCCCCAATCCGCCCGTTTTACATTCTGTTTCAAAATCTACATCTCGCCGTTGTCCATTGCTTATTCCCATCACATTCCCTGCACCTGCCTGGCCTAGTCGTACGGGCCGTTGTGTACGACACCTAAGCAAGACTTGCACCTCTACGTGGTGCTTAGGATCAGTAGCCTGTATGGCGAAGCCAAGCAAGTCATTTATCGCTTTTTAGCTTCTCAGTATTGGTGAAAGGGCGGACTTTCAGGGGTCTGACAAGTATTTGGGCTCTATAGCATTTTAGGTACCGGTATATAGTTTGGTGAAAGCACATTATTTGCGAGATTTCCTGATGCTCCATCGTACATAATAGTAGGATTTCGTAGCTAAGGGGTAGATGCCGGTGATGTCTTCCATTGCGGTTGCGTAAAAAGGGGCTGAAGTGCCATGCCAAGACCTCACGGCTTAGTGCGGATGAGTTGTCGGCGAGCATCCCATCTCAAACAGCTCACTTCAGGCTGACCACGCAGCAGCCTGGCAAGCCACGGTTCGCTCCCGCGTGAGTAAAAAAAGCCATCATCTCGACATGTGCTGGACGAAACAGTTGTTAGCCGCTCCCGCCTGTCCTAGCATATACCCGATTTCACGGTCAGCTAACTGTTGTCTGGTTCTAGAATCCAACGACACGCGAATCGCGATTTTTTCATCGACGCGTCGGAGTGAACCATTTTTGACAATGACATTCTTAAGGAAAAGCAATTTCCGTGGCAGCACGCTGCTAAGTCAAGTTGAGGGGGAGCGGACGAAAGAACATGTCAGCCGGACAGTGGACCAGGACGACTCATCAGACGACCCGTTAAGCACGAGCGAAGTTACATCTCCGAAGAAAAGGAAAAGGCCAGAACCAGCAACTGACGATGAGCCCATCAGCTCCTCAGATGAAAGTGAACAATTGGAGCGGTCGAGCGTGACGCCAGGGCCCAAGCGGCGGCCTCGCGCGGTATGGTCGCCCATAGACCTGGTGGCGGACTCCACGGAGGCTACGCCGAAACCACGCAAGAGAGCTATGTCTACGCCCAAAACTGGAGAAAGAAGATCAAAGCGGATATCCACCACGCAGGAGACAGACACGAGTAAAGATCTAAGCAACCGTTCGGCGACCAGTCGTCTTCTTAGCGAAACGTCGATGTTTTTCCAACGCACGCCCAAACGCTCAATAACCTACACCCACAAACATCCCAAAAGTGTTCCTCGACCAGTAAGGGCAGAAAAGAAGCCCGAATTCATTGTCCCACGCGGTGAGCCGTATGGTTCCAGCCCAGGGCAACCTCAGAAACATGCGGATCACCACGAATTCAAAGTTCCAAGGGCCCTACCAAACGATATTTTCTCTGGCTCGTCTATTCCTACTGATTCATCCCGCGAAATTGTAGAATCTGTTTTATTTGACGACGGCAGCGGGTCGTCTTCCCCACTAAGCTCAGTGGCACCGTCGAATATGGATCTCACTACAGATGAAAAGCGATGGCTAGATGCCTCGCCAGAAGATTTTGTCCGCTGCCCGGCCTGTAATGCGTTACTTGACCCGGAATATCTCGCGGAATTTGAGTTGATCCAAGGACTCAGTATCAAGAAACAAATGCAGGTTTGCCGACAACATAAGCGATGGACGGCAGAGCGTGACTGGCGTCTACGAGAGTATCCAACAATCAATTGGGAATCGCTAGAGAACCGGCTTCACAAATATTTTGCGGATCTAGAGAAAATATTGACTCGCAAAAGACCATCGTTCTTCCGCAACTACTTGGAGACTTCAAACCCGGGGAATAGTAAACGAGATAATTACCGCCTCACGGCGAATAGTCAATTTGAGATGATGTCTTCCGGTTATTATGGCCCGCGTGGCTCTAGGATGATGTATGTGTATAGCAACGAACCGGCGATTAACTACTAACCCTTCTCCAGGATGGATTCGATTATCATGAAATTCGCCACAAAAATACGACATCTAGCGCCGTCAGATCCATTAATGCAGGCTACCGGCGTGTCTGGCTTTGTCCAAGCAGTGTTGGTGCCTGAATTAACTGTGATGCTTGTTAGAGATGATATGGGCGTTGACGATGAGAATGCACGACAGATTATGAGGGACAGTAGCATGATCGGGAATTTATTGAACGAACAGCCTGATGATATTGTCATAGTAGATGAGTGCGGGAATTCACAAAATTAAGTCGAGCCTCTTGGGGGGTCGGTTTCAGTTTATGTGGCTGGATTGCTATCTGCGTTCTCAGAAAGCCGAGGCGTTGGGCAGGCATTTTTTCTTTATTTTGAGATCATCCTCAAATTGGATTCGATTTCTAAAAGTTGATGTATATATATTATAAACGCCATCGTACGCAGTATGAGCTTTCATTTCCACAAAATGAGCATTAACTATATATCCACGAAATTGTACAAGATATGAATTGAGATGCGGAGATCCAATCATCGTGTGCTGCTTCTCAGTAAACGTATGGCTTGGATCAAGCCCTCCTCCTCTGTACGCCATGCCGAAGACGACAATGCCGTACGTTGCCAGCACACTTAGGCCGATCGGCACTGGCTTTCGGGTCCCTGATCGCCCTAGGAATAGCACTTCCACCTAGTACCGTTGAAGCAAGAAGTCCCAGCTCCTCTCCGTAGGGTTGGTTGCCATCGAGGCGAAAGTAGCTGAGAGCATAGAGGGCACCGACGGATAGGCCGGCCGCAATGGAGGGAATCGAGCCGGTGCGGGCGTATCCGATCAATCCGCCCAGGGAGGTGAGAACAGAGAGGGCGGCAGCGGAGTGGGTGGTTCTTGAGGATGACTACCGTGGATTAGTTGGGCTGCTGAAGAAGTGGAATGAGCACGTACCATGATGCCTTATGTTTTAAGATATAGGCTTGAGTGAGGTGTGAGGACTGGGACGGGCCTGGAATTGCTCAATTGATGGCAACACCGTCGAAGATGTTGTCTCTCGTCGCAGCGGATTAGGTCATCGCCGGGGAAAAGACGTGGAGACGGAATTAAGGAGCTCAGGCCAGCCTTGGCACCAGCGTGACTAAGGCCATTCTGTTCGTTTCACAGCTTCGTCTCCAAATCCAGCTCGATTGCTGGACTCTATCTCCAGCCTGCCCTCTCGTTTACACATGGTCTGCTGCTGATTCTCCTTGGAATCAAAGATCTGCCTGCAATGGCACCCAAACGCCCAGCCAACGGCTCCGCAACAGTATCATCATCCTCGTCCTCCTCCAAACCAACTACCACCTCCGTGCCACCCTCAACAACCGCTAAACCCAGCGGACCCATCGCGTTCACGGCCAAGTCTCCACCACAGGAAATAATCTTGGGCGTATGGCAGCGATATCTCGTGCAGACAAGCCAGCGAACAAAGCTGCTGGATGCTTTCATGGCATTCCTTGTCCTTGTTGGCGCGGTGCAGTTTGCGTACTGCGTCTTGGCTGGGAACTACGTAAGCCACCCGTTGCTCTTCCAATCTCTTTTCTTCTTTAGTATCTAACATCTGTCTTCTCTAGCCATTTAATGCTTTCTTGAGCGGGTTTTGTGCCGCAGTCGGCCAGTTTGTCCTCACCGCGAGTCTACGAATGCAAACCAGCGATCAGGACGTGAAGAGCATATCTAGATCAAAATCCAGCACGCCGGCAGTAACAAAAGCGGAAGCTTCGTCGGATAGAGTGTCTCCTGAGAGGTGAGTTGCTTCGCTCTCTTTTGGAGAGGTTCGGCGCTGACTTGGAGCTGGCCCAATAGAGCTTTCGCGGATTACGTGTTTGGAAGCGTAATACTACACTTCTTCTGTATCAATTTCATAAACTGAAAGCGACTCCCGCTTGATGCATTGTATTTCACTTTGCGGGATTGGCCTTTTCTTCCCTGGTCGACTTTCGGGGCCTTAGACTGTAAACGAGGTGGACTGTGTGGCAGGAGATCGTTTCACATGGTGCAAGGTTTGAGGGTATTTCATATTCACTAGTTTATTTTCGTTGTATATTAACTATCGATGAAGAGAAAAGCGGTGGGTGGATTTTTTTAAAAAGTCATAAATTCCGCTGGTATTATCCACTAATCCAATGTTGATGCTTCAAAAATGTAATCGGGGACTCAAGGCGGCCGTCAAAAGCACTTCAGAATGGCTTTTGTTAAACAAAGCTAGAATCCTCGCCCGATTCTCTTAACAGGAGGTCTCCTGACCACACTCCCACCGGCCTTCGTTGCTGCTGCAGACGCAGGTCTCCTCACTGCGGTCCTCGCACCAACTGACGCGGAACCAACGGCGACCTCTTGGCGCCGCTTCAGTTTTTCTTTCTCCGCTTCATGGTTTGCTATCTCGGCAGCTCGTTCACGGTCCGCGGCCATCTGCGTTTCAATCTCCATGCGACGGTTGAATTCGCGTTCTGTGACGCGGCGTTCACGGGCGGAATATCCCTTTTCTTTGATGGAGTAGAAGACACCACCCAGATCGGCAAGCCACTGTGACCTATAAGTATATATGCATGAAAACGAAAGGAAATATCTGCGAATACACTTACGCGAGGGTCCACGGATGTGACGCAAGACATGTACTCTTTGCTCGTCAAAATCAATTCGTGATATACGACGTAATCCGGGAGGAAGCCAAGCCCATAAAGTGCACTTGTAGGATGAAGTTGTACTGTGACACTGGTCCGTAAATTGATATATTCGCCAATTCCTTTGACCCTGGCAGCCTGGTGGTAATATCCAGAGCAAATGCACTTTCGAATAATGTCCCAATCAGTGCCACAACTCGTGAGCGTCATTTTTTGTACCGTCATAATATCATGAAGTTGCTCTCGGATCTCTTTAGCTCGTCGCAACGCCTTCGGGTGAAGGAAGTGCCGCACGCACCAGCCATCAGAATAGCCATTTGCTTTCCATTGGCTATACACGTGCAGAAGGGTGAGATGATCTGACTCGGGTACAAAAAACTTTTCACGGGCGGCGTCGGATTCTTCTTGCCGTTCCTTCGGGCGGTAGAAAACACTTGGCACTGATAGCATGGAGACGATTGTAAGCATTTCTTCACTGCATTCGTACTCTTCTGATGCGGTGATGAGCAGTTTCGCTAGCGACGGGTCCATTGGAAAGGGGCTCATCCGGCGGCCCATGGCCGTGAGATCACCAAGATTATCAATGGCACCCAATGCCCATAAATCGAATAACGAGGTGGTGATGGTGTCCTGAGGAGGAGGATCCATGAAATCAAAATCCAGCAAATCCTTCACTCCCAATGACTTGAGCATGAGAACCGTATTAGCCAAGTTGGTTCTTTGTATCTCAGGGATAGTTTGAATATAGAATTCATTCTTGAATGCAAGTTCGGTGTAAAGATGGTATGCTTTCCCTGGGCCCGTTCGTCCAGCGCGGCCGGCGCGCTGTGATGCGTTGGCCTGGGAGATTGGCGTGATTTGCAAAGTATCCATCCCCATGCGTGGGTTGTAAACTTTTAATTTAGAAAAACCACAATCAACAACATACATGATACCGTCAACGGTCAAACTGGTTTCCGCAATATTGGTGGCGACAATAACTTTTCTGACGCCGGGAGGCGCCTTATCAAAAATCTTGGCTTGAAGGTCTGCGGGCATTTGGCTGTATATCGGCAAGACACTAATTTTCGGCGGATCATTCAAAAGTGCAAGCCTTTCGTGTATCAGGTCACAAGTAGCTTCAATGTCTTCCTGCCCCGTCATAAACACGAGAATATCCCCGGCGCCCTGCGATACATGAATAGCAAGAACCTGCTTAACAGCGCTGTCAACGTAGTCTTCACAAGGCGATCTGGAGTACTGAATATCAACTGGGAATGTCCGTCCAGGAATGAAGAATTCAGGAGCACCTCCGTAGAATTTCGAGAACCGTTCTGCATTCATTGTGGCGGACGTTACAATCAGCTTCAGATCTCGTCGACGGGCTAGAACCTTTTTAATTAATCCCATTAGGACATCAGTGTTTAAAGCCCGCTCGTGGGCTTCATCCATGATTATACAAGAGTATTTATCGAGATCCGGCTGCACCAAAGATTCTCGTAAGAGTACGCCATCGGTCATATCTAGGGGCATATGTTAGCAACGATCTCTAGTAAAGAGCTCAGCCGACCTTACATTTAATGGCTGTTTCGCTACTAGTGCAATCCTCAAAACGAATGGCATATCCAACGAGACCACCAAGTTTAACTTCCATCTCTTCACTCACTCTCTTCGGAA